TTCTCGTTACAAACTTTGTAATACACTTAATTTCCACAGTCACTTTAAAGTTGACTACTTTTATAAACACGCTATAGTTCACAGCGATTAACACACTTTACTTCCGGCGCCTCCTGCTCGCTTGACTCCATTACCAATTGTTTATCTCTATATCTGTCTATGCAATTAATTGCCGTTCTTATATACTAAAATAGAGGATGCTTGGAAAAGACTAGAGTTGCCAGGACAATTCACGATACTTCTAGAAACTTATCACGTGCTACCATAGTCACGTGACTTCCGCTGTCGTAACAATATGTTTAATTTTTAGCTGGTTTTCGTGAGGAATCAAACTATAATTAATATATTTTAAATTCCTTATTTTCGTTGCTAATATTTATTCATTAACGTTAAGGTTACGTTTTGTCACGTGACCGTCTGTTTCGCGCCAAGTATGTTGGTTATCGGTTTTCGATAAATGCATCCGCTTTACGAAGTAGGTGTACTTTAAAAATTAATAAAATCACGAATTTTTGTAATATTTATACCTCAAAATTAATCATGTATCACTTTTTTTTATCATTTTATACTCACAAGCAAAAATAACTCATAATTAAACGTCTTTTATATTGAATCAATTTGAAGACTTGATATAAAGTTGGGCCTAGTTAGACTTAAGAGTTAGATTTGGTGTTGTAGAAAAAGTAGTAAACGCTGGTTGTTTATCGTACTGGATAGTCTATGCTGTATACTGTCGCTGATTTAATGGTTTATTACCATCAATTGCTGAAAAGTCAACAAAATTAAATTCCATAGGATTATAAAGAAGCAGGTAGGCTATTCCTGAATATAATAGTCATAATCGAGTTATCCTAGCTAAAATGGACTTAGGTTTATTTAACTACCCAGTTGGCACACAATATTGCCAATATAATAGTGAATACTCAATAGGCTCAATTTTTCATATGGATAATAATAATATTAATAATATAGTATTAGTACTAATAGCAATACAATAGTTTAGCTAGCATAATACGCTTCGTTAGTGAAATATGATATGTATTATTATATTAATAATCTGACATTACATCACATGACGTGTTTCAATTTCTGTTGAATAGTGTAGTTTTTACTTGAAATTTGAATATTTTGTACAAACTGTAGTAAAATGGATTATTCTTAGCTTGCCTAGCATTGTACTATTTCAGTACTTTTAGCATTTAACAAAATACAGGAGAGAAAAACAACACTTTTAAAAGTTCAAAACTTCTAACTATACATAGAAAATAATCTAGACTGAAGAATATAACTTTTGCATAAGCAAAGTTAGGAAATAACTAGAAACAAAAATATTTCGTATATTATCATAACACTATTAATTCTCCAATTACAAATGCTTTAACAACTTAAGTGAGTAATTCATATATCTCAAAATTTATCTCCCTAATCTCAGTGTCTGGCTTTATTTCTCTTTTCTTTGGTACTTTAATTTTATACCAGACAACAAGATTATATTTATAACTGAATTTGTAATTACGATTGGTTGTTGACAGAACATCTGATCAACTTGTATACATATTGCAACAAATTAATTTACACAGTTATATACTATAGTTGTCATAAAAACTGCAATGTCAGTCATTTTGGCTAACTGCAAAAATTAGTTCTAAAATGAACTAACTAATAGAAGTGAGCTGGTATTTCATAAATAAGGTCAAAAGATAGCTTGATTACTGATAAAGTTAAAAAATACTTAAAAAATAATAATAAAACTGAAGGAATGCCAACTCTCATCTGTAATCAGAGGCCAGTTGCAAAATGACCCGATTCAATCTGTAACGTTTCAGGTATTTAAAGTTGTTAAGGGTTTGGACAGTATTCTGATAGGTGATCTGTTTTGAGTTGTCAAATGAAAAGTTTGGGAACATGAGTATTAGAGGAAACAGATTTAATGATTACAAACCCAAATTCACACTTTTTATTCATTTATGTTTTTCTTTTCTTTTTAGGTTAGAGTTATAAACTTATGAAATTTTTCATGTGACAATATAGTTTTAACATTTTGAATTGTTTTATTTAGTTTTGTCGGATAGATAATTTAATGTGAGAGACTGTAATTAAGATTTTTGTTCTGTTTATTTGTAGATAAGGGGTGGACTCGGTGTTTGCATATGAACTGCCTTTTGCAAATTGATGGCTTTTAATTAACCTACATGCATTACTTTGCATTTATTATATCATAATTTTGATTGGAATAACCTTAACAGTGTTAAGGGAAAAAAAGGGATCTTGGTGTTGGTTGACCAGTATTAAGCTCTCTAAGCAGGGCACTGTATAGCAAATAGGATTTTAAGTTGTTTTTACAGAAATATTGAATATAAGTCTAAAGAGATAAGTTATAAATTTTAGCAAGGTAGGAGTCATCTTTAGCTAAGACAATTTTATTTTACTAAAAGGGTAGTTAACCTTTGGAATAGATTACTTTAGATCTGATGGGTGTAGTAAATTTAAGAGAGCTTAAGAGAAGGTTTTATAAATATTTAAATGATATGGGCTGAGTTTGAGAAGATTTTATTATTTAAGCATAGTGGATTGTACAATCTTGAAGAACCAACAGAACCTTTGTTGATATTGATAAGGGTAGAATTAATAAAGTTTGCTGATTACATTAAACTGTTTTCAGAATAATGAGATATTACAAAATAACTTGGATCAATTCATAAATAGAACAAATATTTGGCAAATGACATTCAATTGTAGTGAGTGCAAGAGAATGCAATATGGGTTATCATAATTTAGATCACATTTAATATGGATGTGAAAAACTGAATAGCATTAAGTCAAGAAAAGAATATTGGCACATAGTGGTAGATAAGTCACTCAAGCTATCGAAACAGTGCTCTGTTGCTAGTAGTATAAACAAGTTTTAGAGTACATTTATAGATGCACTTATTACAAGTGAAACAAGGTAATTATTTCGATATAAATCAATACTTATGCCTCTTAGATAAACAGTTATCATCTACTTATCTAAGAAAGGATATTGACTCATTGAAAAGGGTTCAGAGGAGAGCTACTAGGATGATTTCAAGGATGGAAGGTTATTTTAAAGGGATAGGTTAAAATACTTTCAATTTTTCTTAAGGAAAGAGGTGGTTCTTTTTGTTATATTCTGATGACTAAGAGGACACAAATTTAAGGTTTGGAAAAGACAGGCTAGGTTTCAGTTAAGACAATACAATTTTTCTAACAGGATGATTGATTTATGGAATGAGTTGCTGTAGGCATAAGCGAAAGTTAACACTTTACAGGAGTTTTAAGAGGAGTATAAGTGATGATCTGAATAGTAAAGGGTGGGTTTAAGTTTTTGCTTTTTTCGAGAGTGAATGTGCAGGGATAGCATTGTAAAATGGTCCCTTTTTGACCATAGGTTATGTTATTTTTGCTTTTGTCTTAATTTTGTGCAGAAGTGCTTCCAATTGGCTCCATTAGCCAGGTGCAGTTAATAATATCCAAGCTGATCAGTATTTGGTAAAGACCCCAGCACATTCTTATCTGTGAATAAATTTTTTGTTTACTTGTTTTTTTCTATGTTATCTGTGTTAATTTTATTGTCTGCATAATACAGTAGTCCCTGGTGGATATGACCCCTTCCAATAATGACTTCCTTTTGAATATGATGTTTTTTTCTGTGTAGGGAACAATTTTACATTGATCTGACCTCCCACGAATGACTTCCTGACAGATGCGACATACAACCATGATTTTTGGGCGGAAGGTCAAATAACGACCTTTCTATAATGACTTTTCTTCATATCAGTAATGTAATTTACATATATATACACATGAATACAGTGTATATA